TCTTCAAGGAGGTAACTAGGTTAAATGAAGTCATAAGGGTGGGGCCAATAGGACTAGTATCCGAGAGAGAGAGAGAGAGAGAGAGAGAGAGACCAGAGACCTATCTCTCACACACACATGCACAGAGAAGAAGCCATGTGAGGACACAGAGAGAAGGCAGCGTCTACAAACCAGGACGAGAGGCCTCACCAGAAACCACCCTGATGGCCCTTGATCTGGGACCTGTAGCTTCCCCAACTGTGAGAAAATAAACTCCCATCCGTCTACCCCATCCACGGTGTTTTATTATGACAGCCCTGGCTAACACCGAGGGAAAGACAATTCATTCACACGTGGATGAAGACACAGGAGGTGGATTTAAGGCAAGCCAACTGAGCTAGAACTGCTGGGGCGTGGTGCTTCAGTGGAAAGAGAAGGCAAGAAGGAGTGAGGAGGAGGAGGAGGAGGAGGAGGAGGAGAAGGGAGAGGAGGAACAGGAAGAGGAAGATGAAGAGGAGGAGGAGGAAGGGATGTTGTCCAGGTTTCAGTCTTGCACAGCGGGGGAATTGTGGTGATGCTCACTGAGTCTGAGTTTGGGTACTGGACCGCGGGCTTCAGTCTGAAAAGCCACCAGTGAAGGTGTAGTTAGGATTTCTTGGCTGTCAGGAGGAGAAACTTAACGGTAGGAAATTAGGGGAACTATAACAGAAGTGGAACCGCATTGAAAACCAAGGTCAGCGTTTTTCCAACAAATGAACTCATAGTTACATTCAAATTCTTCACTCGTTTAATACAATGCCTTAGAGATCATTCCATCCACAGGCACAAACCTACATTATTCTTTGCATCTCCAGCTACTGTTCTGTTGAACAGAGGAGACAGCATCTATCTATTCACCATCCACCTGCAGAGTTAGGTCGTATCCAAACACACTTTACTGCAAACACCGCGTCAGGAGCACCCTCGTACGTTTTCTCTGTGCACAGCCTAGATTCCTGGCCGTGAACGGCTGGGTTGAAACGGATGTGCATTTTGTGTGCTGAGAGCGACTGCCAAATTCCCTCTGAAAAGACTGTACCATTTATACTTCTAGCAAGAGAGGATACATGTACTTACTGCTTCATAACCCTATGTATGTTTCTTAAAACTGCTTTGAGTCATGACCCCTTTAGATTCTGCTGGCAGCTCTGAGTCCTCGTTGTAGGGAGACACAAAGATGTGCATATACAGAGCCCTTTGCAGGTGTACAGGCCACCCGGGCTTCCCACGGCTTTATAGGAAGGACCCCCGAGTATCGGTGTTTGAATGGGCCTCGAGGTCTAGACCAGTGCGTCTTAATCTCAGCTGTGCATTCGAATCACCCGGGGAGCTTTGGGAAATCCCCGGGCCTGGCCACTTCCCAGACCCGTCTGAGCAGATTCTCTAGGGAACGGATCGAGGTAGCAGTATTTTTTTGCAAGTTTTCCGGGTGATCGTAACATGCACGCAATGGCAAGAACCATTGCTACCTAGGAGAGGCCTGTAGAAAGATTAAAATAATAATAATAATAATAATAATAATAATATGAAGGTAGAACAGGGGGAAGTGCACCCGTGGCTCTCAGGGCCCAGACGAGGCTGCAGGAGCCTTCATTGTAATGAGGGGTGGGGCTGGGGACCTGGCATGGATACCTCTGTTTTGGTTGGGGAGATGTTCCAGGTGATTCTAAGGCGTGGCCAAGGCAAGAGTCCTGGTGCAGGGGAGGCCTGCCGGGGAGAAGGCACCCTGAGGGGTGAGAGCAGAAGGAAGAAAAGTCAGATGCACCCCGAGAACTTACAACTTCCAAGCCAAGGGCAAAGGGCAGCACCAGCTCCCGCGGTGGCTCTGACCAGGGGCCTGGCCAGGGGTGTGGGCAGCCGTCACCACTGGCTTCAAGCTGCCGTGGTGGGAGGAGGCTTCATGGAGCTGGATCCTTTAAGATCTTTCTTTATTTAAAATACATTTTTATTTATTTCAGAGAGAGGAAGAGAGAGGAGAAAGAGGGACAGAAACATCAATAAGAGAGAATCGTTGATTGGCGGCCTTCTGCATGCCCCACACTAGGGATCGAGCCCACAACCCGGGCATGTGCTCTGACCGGGAATCGAGCCTTGACCTCCTGGTTCATAGGTCGCCCTCTGAGCCACATGGGCTGGGCATGGAGCTGGGTCTTAAAGAATCGAGACACATTTGACCCGAGAGGAGGCATTCCCAGTGGGAAAGGAAGCTCCTGGCTAGGGCTGGTTCAGGCTGCTCACAGCTCCTCCATCCCAGGCTCAGCCCTGGAGTCCTGTGAGTGATTCCTCCCCGGGTCTGCTGAACCCACTCAGCCAGGCTCACGGGGCCCCACGCCCTCACCCCCTGGCCCCAGCATTCCTCCTTTCCTGGGCCGAGCCTCCCCTTTAGAGATGTTCTGTCTCCCAGGCCAGTGGTTCTCGAAGGCAGGGCGCGGGAGCAGCAGCAGCAGCTGAGCGTTTGCCCGCTCGGGCCCAGGTGACCTCTGCACGGCCCTCAGGGCTCGGATGCAGCCCCGAGTCTGAGGGTCCGTGTCCCGGGGCCTCGGGCCAGGTTTCTCCCTTCCAGCTCTGTCCTCTGGGCGTACTCTCCCCAGGGCTGGGCTCAGGTCAGGGAGACACAAGGAAGAGTGTTCGGAAATTCAACTATAGGTAAGACTGGGGACTTTGGGTTTGAAAGTAAAGAAAGGAGCCATGACGACTTTCTGTCCAGGGGAGGGAAAGTGTTAAAATGGCGTTGGAGGCCAGGTAACAGCATTTTATTTTCTTTAAATATATTTTTATTGATTTCAGAGAGGAAGGGAGAGAGAGAGAGATAGAAACATCAATGATGAGAAAGAATCATTGATTGGCTGCCTCCTGCACGCCCCCCACTGGGGATCGAGCCCGACACCCATGCCCGGGAATGGAACCAGGACCTCCTGGTTCATAGGTCTTGGCTCAACCACTGAGCTATGCCAGCCCGGCGGTAACAGCATTTTAAAAATGCAAGTTGACCCCAACCGCCCAGAAATCACAGGCAAAACCACGCATATGCATCTTCTGAGGAAGAGGTTTCACAACTTCCATTCGATTTGCAAATGAATTCAGAATGAGTGGGTGATCCGCCAAAGAGGAAATGATTTCGTTGCTCGCTCAATTACATTAGCTGTCGAGGCCGCGTCTCTCCAAGTGCCGTTAGGTCGGTATTGCGTGGTCGGCGCTGAGGGTAACTGTGCACGTCCTTGGACTGGACTCTGGACCTGTGACATCAGACTCTCGGGAGCTGGCACCGAGGAACCTGCATTCTAAGAGAGACTCCCTGGGTGGTTCTGGGTGATGCTGACGCGCTCTGAGCGTCACGAACGGCCTGGGCTTCAGTCTGAAAAGCCACCAGTTCCGGGAAAGCTACGTGAGTCGGGGGTAGAGCCCGTGGAGCACTGAGGCCACCTTCCAGGACCACAGCCCACAGCCCCGGAGCCTCGGCCCGGGAAGCCCTCTCCTGCCGCAGTGCCCCCCGCAAGCGTGTTCTCTGTGCTTCCCACGCGGACAGCAGCCCTGAGTGAGGTTCGTCCTCAGATCACAGCTCAGCCTCCCAGAGCTGGTGAGGACCAGGCCCACTGCTTCCCTGGCAGAGGGAGGCGAGGTGACCACGGGGAAGGCAGAGGGAGGGGATGTGACCACAGGGAAGGCAGAGGGAGGCGAGGTGACCACGGGGAAGGCAGAGGGAAACTCCTGACCTCGTGAGCCGGGAGGCAGGCCAGGCATCTTCCTCGGAGAGCCTTCCCCCCTCCCGCCTCTGCCCATGTGCTTGGCAGAGTTCGCCCCCAAACGATGATGCATTTTGGGTGATGACTTCTGTTACATGCAGACCTTAGACCAATGATGGCGAACCTATGACACGCGTGTCAGAGGTGACACGCAAACTCATTTTTTTGGTTGATTTTTCTTTGTTAAATGGCATTTAAATATATAAAATAAGTATCAAAAATATAAGTCTTTGTTTTACTATGGTTGCAAATATCAAAAAATTTCTATATGTGACACGGCACCAGAGTTAAGTTAGGGTTTTTCAAAATGCTGACACGCCAAGCTCAAAAGGTTCGCCATCACTGCCTTAGACAGCAGCCACGTGGGACGGAGCTCATGGACGTGCACTGGAAGGAAAGGGTTTTCTCTGGGCCGAGGGAAGGAACGGGAGGCCCTGGGCGGGCGAATTATTGAGGATGCGTGTGCTGCGGGGTCCCGTCCAGGAGCTGGCGATGCGGGGCGGGTCATTTAGGCGCTCGGGGTGTCCACTCCCCGGGAACATAGGAGCGACCCTCACCTGTCCTCAGGAGAGCAGGTGCGAGTTCATGGGACGGAGCCGCCGCAGCCAGAGTCACTGATGGAACCAGAAAGGCGTACGGGCATGTCTGTCCCCAGGGATCTGTGCTTTCCGAGCCTGCTCTAGGGAGAGTGACGGCTTTTATAAACAGGGAAGAATGACAGAATCACAGCTTTGCTTCCTCTCTCTCTCTCTCTCTCTCTCTCTCTCTCTCTCGTTTTGTTAATCCTCAACCAAGGATATTTTTCCACTGATTTTTAGAGAGAGTGGGAGGGAGAGGGAGAGACAGAGAGAACATCGATGTAAGAGAGGCCATCAGCTGGTTGCCTCTTGCCCGTACCCCAACCAGGGCCGGGAACCTACAACCAAGGTATATGAATCAAACCCGGGACCCTTCAGTCTGCAGGCCGACGCTCTACCCACTGAGCAAGACAGGCTAGGGCTGCCTTTTCTTTTTATACTTAAGAGAAGGCGCCAGGAAGAGAGAAAAGACAGGAAAACAAAGTGACCTGCTCAGGCTCGGGGGAGTCTGCCTCTATTGAGAGAGATGCAACATGACCCCCGGGGCACCCCAGCCAACGCACAGGCGGCAGGAGTCAGAAACGTGAGGAACTGCGAGCCCCACCCGCCCCCCC